CTGAAAACCGATGGAAAAAAGGTTTCTAGTTACAAAAAAAATTCATTAAACATGGTGTTAAAAAAGACATTTGCTACTGAATTTACCTTTCCAGTATGCCTCTGATCTCTAGAGCGTTCTGACTTCTTTTTGTTCTTAAGATACTGAGCAAACTAAAAATAACAATATACAAAAAAGATTTAAAAATTTAATACAAACAGCTATGCACAAGTAAACAGATAATAGTCCATGCATCTTACTACTGCTGCTGCTGCTGATTAGTTAGTTAGTTCATAAAAAAAGTGCCATGGACTGATTGGAGTAAATTAACAACTGGATAAATGATACGTTAAGCAGATGCACAAGACACAGAGAAAGTAATAGAGTGGCATAGGACTAGCATTAATTCTTTAGAAATTATTATATATTAATTGACTCAAGAAGGTTTGTATATTTTGACAAAGATGAAGGCGTCACTCATTAAATACTAGTAGTAGCCTCAAAAAACTAGTGGCAAGTCATGACTGAACTAGCTGATACATGGCCTACTTCCATCTCTTAAATTATTTTAACAAACAATAACTAACATTGATCAAAAGTAAAAACTCCTACATAAGAATAAGAACACATACACTTGATATGCACACAAGAATAAGAATAGATACAGTTGGTATGCACAAAAAAGTTTCAAAACATACTCCTTTTATTTGCTCGAAAGCATTCACAAGATCAACATTATCCTCTGACAAATTTGGATTAAAAAAGGAACAAGATATATCATTTTATAATACACAACTACATAAACAATAAAAAATCAAGAAAACTTATTACCTTGCCCATATCAATAGAAGCAGAGTTGTTATCTTCGCCAGAGTTGATATCATACTTTTCTTCACTTTGACCATTTGCAGATTCATCATCAGAAGACAACTCGACATCATCCATTGCTATAAAACAAAAAATAATAAAGGTCAATCATATAGTGTTTGAAAAAAAAAGATGCAAGCTCATTGGATGACTCCACTCCAACCTTGCTGTAATAATGAGATGTAGGTGAAGAAAATTGTGCAGCTCAAAAAAAATTATGAAGAACTGCTGAAGCAACAACATATTCAGAATTAAATTCATACCCGTTCACAGATTACTAAACACAAAAAGACAAACTCAGATCAACTGGAACATAGAAATGAATGCTCAGTGAATAACACTGCTGCTAGGAGATCAGAGAGAGCAAATAGAGGCCATGTCCTCATATTCACAATTTTATTTTCTAAATAATGTTTCAGGCATTTCAGAGCAGTACAAAAAAACTAAACAGCCTAAATACAGATCGAAAAGGGATCAAGTACACACATTCAACAGCACACGATGGGGCAGCGCAAGTTTTCCGGACCAATCGAGGCAGCGCCAATGAAATCGCCTTAGGCAAGACAGGAGCAAACAAGCACTTAACCAGGTTAGAGGGAAATATATATATAGCACATGTTAAACAACAAAATTGCGGAAATCAAACTGTGCAATTTACTACTAGTAAATGTGCAATGAAGAGATGCATACTAAATATAGCTTTATTGTACAATATATGCAACACACAGTTCAAAGATATGAGCTCCTACTATCCAGATAGCAATGAAACTATTAATCAGAAGGATAAAACTAGTCCAACCAAACTGTAGATTGAAAAAATGATATTGCACCAAGACACAAAAACCAAAATCACTCCAATCTATAGTACTTCTGAATCAACACATAAAATGCAGATAGTGTTCACACTGCACTTAACCTACTCCATCACTCTAATCTCCACTCTAATTAATTAGGAGTGGCCTGACCAACCCTAATTCCATTTTGACCAAATAGCCTGCTGCCCTGCCTCCACCTTCAAAGCAACAAAACAAATAATGACAACTGTCTTCTGAATCATCTCAAAAAGTGAAGCTCTGCAAACAACTGCTCTGAACTAGATTACTGAAACATACATGGAGCAACAATGTTATAGTTTCTGAAGAATTTTTCAGACATTTCAGAGCAACACAGAAAGACAAACCGTGGTAACACTGACAACAAATGTGGTCCTCAATAAACGATAACTAAGAACAACCAAACCGAGATCTAGCAGAAGAACAAGCAATGCATCAAAATGAGATATAGACACAAGCACTTGACCAACATGAAAAGGAGGACAACCTCACCCACAGCTCGCCCGAATGCAGGTCGAAGAAGCTTCGCCCCACCCATCGCCTGCAAGTGGCGCCACGGCACAATGGGAAGCGAAGCGCAAGGAAAGCGCCCCCACCCACAACTCCGCCCCACTCGTTGCCTGCCGCGAACAACATCGGCCGCACCCGCTGCCTGCCCGACAACATCCGCCCCACCCACCGCCTACGCGCGGCGCAAAAGCAAAGCAGCGGCGACAAAACTGCCAGCGCCACCACGCGATGCAGAGAGGATTGGGCTGCAACCTAATCCTCAACCACATCCACTGCCGCAACCAAATTGACACCCACAGCCCAAAAAACCCCAAATCCAAACCAAATCAGAACGGAATTAGTGAGAGGGAGGCGGCGCACAGAAATAGCGAGGGGCGGAGCACAAAGGTTGCCTCTCAAATCGCCGCGACGGCGAGACAATCGACGCAGAAGAACACCTCTCCCCTTCCCTCAACACAGCACACAACAATGAAATCTACACCACCACCATGAAACGGAATCAAATACGCACCTTTGGTAGGAGTCCACGACGGAGAAGAACGAGTTCACCGGAGCACAACCTCTGGATCCAAAATCGCCTCTCAGATCGTCTCGGGAGCGCCTGGGGAAGACTAAGCGAACTGACGACGAAGATTGAGCGGTGGGCAGTGGGGAAATGAACCGGCGCGATTCCCAATTCAAAACAGTGAAGGCACTACACCACAGTGGACGGCGCCGACAAGATAACCCCACAAGGCAGATACACAAAAAAAATTTGTGTGCCAGGAGAGGAGGAGAAACACATGTGTGCTCTATAGCAATCTCGAAATAAAATTGGTTGGATTGGATATCAAAATCTTGGCCATTGGGCCAACAATAAATGGTGGGGCAGTCCTTACGCTGTTGGCCACGTGGACGTGGGTGGTGTCTAAACTTGATTTGTTTTTTTGAGCTCCAACCTTGATTTGTTTAGTACCACACCGCGTGGCTGAGGTTGGATTCGTGTGCAGATAACCAGCCCTCGGGATTGTTTTTGGCCTCTCATCTTAAGTACAGTTGTAAAATCTATTCGGATACAGACACACACCACCACACACACGCACACCTCACACACACACGGTATACGAACAAACCTACAACTATACCTAGACAACGAACGTAACTGAGAGATACTCGAAGATCACCAGACTCCGAGCGTGGCGGGCACGTCACTTGTCCATTGTGGCACATCTACGCGAGAGGCACCTGAAATTATTATTGGGGGCAAACCCCGGTGAGAAATCAGAAATTCGCAGCCACGAGGGCTCGAACTCCGGCAGGCGAGGTCCCAACCACCGGGCCTTGCCACCCGAGCTACGCTCCGTTCTCACCAGCCCTCGGGATTATTGATTCACCACGAGGCCCCCGTGGTAAGCAATTATCAATACTGATTACAAAGCTATTATTTTAAGTAGCACACTATATGATGTGCTTAGCTTTTTTTTTCTTCACGAGCTCACACATATATAATTGTTTTGTGGGATGGACCTGATTTTCATAGGTGTTGCTCGAAGTATATGGTCCACAAAATCCTAATTCGACGCGCTTGCTCTAGCTCACTTGAGTTGTGTGTGAGCAGGTGCCGAGAGACGATTGGTGGAATTTGACGAGAGGTTAGGGAATGCCCGACAAGATGAGAGGTTTGAGGTGGGCAGGCGGGCTATGGACAAAATCCTAATTCGATGCATGCTCCAACACACTTGGGTTGCGTGCGTGCGACCGGGTGTCGAGAGGCGATTGGTGGGATCTATATCATTATCCGACGAGAGGTTAGGGGATGGCGAACGAGATGAGAGGTTTAAGGTGGGTCGGCAGGCTATGGGTGGAGCGGCGTACTCGCTACTCACGTGTTTATTGAGCTAGGGAACCAATGCACAATGGCTCTAGAGGCCAGCCCAACAGTGATGGTGGTTCGAGGGCTGCAAGTGCCTTCACCAGCTCCTCAATGCAATGTAGCAAAAAGTTAGAGCTGTGCCGAACGATATTCTATTATATTATTACAACAATATTAAAAGGAACTTGCTGAGAGGGTCTAGAAATTACCATATTGGCCCCATTCGGTTTGCTGAAACTTGGTTGAAATTAGCTGAAAACACTATTCTGGTTGAATTGTTGTGAGAGAAAAACACTATTCTAGCTGAAAAAACAAGCTGAATAGTGTTGTTTTTAAGGTAAGCCGAACTAGGCCATTGACTAAAAAAAGAACTCATCGTTTGATTTTTGTGATGGTCTAACAAGATTAAACCAAATATTCAATACCCAAATGAAGGCATCTAAGACTCAATTTGGTGATTTAGGATTTTGGTAATCGATGAACACAAGTGCTAGAGGTCTAGAATTTAGATGTCACGGTGCTAGAGTTTTAGAATTTGTATAGGTTATAAAGCCGTTGCTTTAGAGCCCGGTTCCGGTGGTTGTAGTCCACCGTTCGTGCCACAGAAAGGGCCAGCGACCCGCAGACGGACAGCGTCCTTGCGCTTGCGCTTGCGCGGGCAAGGGCGTCGTCCGTCCGGCGAGCTTTGAGCGACCAGCGACCGACCACGAGGCCCTGTGGTGGCGCAATCCTGCTGCTAATTTTCTTCCTCAGCCGCTAAGCTCAAAGATCTTAACTGCCATTCAGTTGAGAAGATGCTTACAATTTTAATCAAAATATTATTGTACAGATTTTTCAGAACTTCGAAGCAGAGAATTTTCACGGTGCAGACTTTTATGGTGTTTCATTCATTTTCCCACAGTACTGTGTCCTGCAAGTCGTCGCGATTCGTGAACACCAACACCACTCGCCCCAAAATTTCATCCTCGCACAAGATCTAAGAACCACCTGAGATTCTGGCGCGACGACCCGCCATCGCCGACTGCCCGGCGGGCGAGATCCCGCAGCGCCAGCGCCCTCGCCTTCGTCTCATTGTCGCCGAGCAGCTCCTCGATCTTGTCCCGAACAACTTCTCTCCCCACGAGCCCCGTTCCGTGTGTCGCCGCCGCCGCTGGCGGCAATGGCACCTTCAGCCCCGTCCCCCACACGTCGCAGATGTAGCTCTGGTTCAGGAACTGGTCGGTGAAGCAGGGCCAGCACAGGAGCGGCACGCCGCTCCGCACCGCCTCCATCGTCGAGTTCCAGCCGCAGTGCGTCAGGAAGCAGGCGACCGCGGGGTGCGCCAGCACGCTCTGCTGCGGGCACCAGCTCACCACGCGCCCGCGCGGCGCGGCGCGGCGGCGGAGCTGCTCAAGGAGCTGGTCCCCCGCCGACCCTGGCCTGACCACCCACAGGAACGGCCGGGAGGTCAGCAGCAGCCCCTCGGCCAGCTCGACTAGCTGCGCGGCGTCGTAGGCGGCGAGGCTGCCGAACGCGACGTACACGACGGAGCTGGCCGGCTGCGCGTCCAGCCACGCGGCGCAGGAGGCGTCCTCGGCCCAGAAGCTGCCCGCCGGCTTGTCGGAGGAGACCGAGAGCGGGCCCACGGGGAGGACGCGGGGGAACAGCGCCAAGGCCCCGGGCTCGAGCTCCTGGACGGAGTTGCAGACGATGGTCTCGGCGAGGTGCGTGGCCTCGTTGTTCCGGTGGATCAGCTGGAAGATGATTGGCTGGCCCTTGGCGTCGCCGGCGCGGTTCCACGAGAACTCCGACGTGTCGATGGCCGGCATCGCCGGAGCCAGCCGAAACGTGCCGCGCCGCTTGGGCCAGCCTCTCTCGTCGAGGACGCCGTCGCGTATCATCTCAGGAATTTTGATCCTCGTCGCGAACATCGCCGCCGCCGACGGGCAGAACCCGGCGGTCCGGAGGCCGTGCTTCTTCGCCACGGGGAAGGCCCACGCCATGTTCACGTCGGCGATCAACCAGCTGACCTTCTCGCGCTCTCGCCGCTCATCGGCGGCATTGATGCTGGCAATGAGCTTCTCCAGCTCGCCGGGCATGACCTTCGAGAACGAGTCGGTGAGACGGGCGAGGTCCTTCCGGTCTTCGCCGCAGCCCAGGCCATCTGGTATGGACATCATGTCGACGCCGCCGGGTTCGCTGTCCCCGGTGGCCAAGGCACCGAGAATGAGACCGTGGTTTAGCTCGGTGTTCACGAAGGTGACCTTGACGCCGTGCTCGACGAGGCAGTGGGAGAGCTCCATCATAGGGATGACATGGCCCTGCGCGGGGTAAGGCAGGACTAGGACGCGTGGTGCCGCCATGACCATGAGAAAAGGTGGGGAGCTTTGATCTTGGAACGGAACCAAGATGTCGCATGGTGGCAGAAAGCTCTGCCTGCGAGTGATACTCGTTCAAGTTGCGCAAAGAAACAAAAGGCCATACATCATCGATTCAGAAAAACAGCATGAAAACGGAGATCCGAAGATCTCGAGCTATATGACATGCGCTGGATAACATGGAAAAGGACAACATTACAAAAACAAAACTTTATTTAACTGATCCTGACACAAGCGGCCTACTTTATAATTCAGGATCGAACAGCAGCGGCCCAACGGTTCCCTTTCAGATGAAAGGGGCAATCATCCCAGTGAAATTTTTGCATTTTGGTCCGTTTTGAAAATATTTTTTTATAAAAAGACCCATGCCAAAATGTTTGCTGAAAATAGACAATTTTTAGACGTCTTAGAACATGACGCCAAGGTAAGAGGGTCAGCGTCGACTGACACGACGCCGAGGTCTTGCCACGTCACGGACGACCCCGGTCGACTGCGACACAGTGGCGCATGGGGTCCGACACGTCGGTGTTGTGTCAGCCAACGCCAAAAGCCCAACCTCGGCGCTGTGGGACTACACGCCGAGCTATTGGCACCATCGGACGCGTGGCCCAGCAACGCTTCGTGGCCCAATATCTCGGCGCTGGGTCACTTAACGCCAAGCCACCAGACCTCGGCGCGGCCCGACTCAACGCCAAGGTTTTGACTCTTGAAGCCACGCCGATGCCCCCTTCTTCTTCCTCCCTCCATTCTGAAACCGCCGGCGGGCTCTGCTCTTCGGCTCCCCCCACGCCCCCATGAAACCCTAACTCCCAAAAGCGACCCTAGGAGCCCCGATCTCGTCTCCCGAAGCTTCCTCGAGGTAATGGTCCCTCCCCTCCTCCAATCTATCCGCGTAGATATGCTTGCATTGTCTCTAATCATGTGGAATCATGGGTGTATGGTGTTTTGGTATATGTGTATTTGCATTTGCAAAATGTATGGCTTAGGTTGATTGAGTGCATTGTTGTTTAACTGTTTTATGTGATGAACATGTTATGTTAGTTTGGTTTCTAGTTATTTTGATCATTAGGGTTCTTTGTTTATTGTAGGTGCCATTAGGATTAGTTATTTGTTGGTCATTAGGGTTAGTATGTATTTTACTTATTTGTTGGTCATTACATTTCAATTTTTTATGACTACAAATGATTTGCCAAGGTACTCCTCTTTCTCCTCTTTCATTTTATTCATTCGTGCAATGTACGGTGGTTCAAATGATTGAATGACCTAAATGTATGGTTGTTGTTGTTGTTGTATATGTTCTGGTTTATAATCATTGAGTTAAATTTTGTGTTTGTTGGGATTCAAATTTGCTTCGAGTTTGTAATGAAAAGCTTATTTGGGAGGTACTTTGGATTGATTTTTTTCTACGTAATGTTAGGATGCCAAGGCGTGGTAAAGCTCGTATTCTAAGGTAATCCCAATGTTTATTCATTATTTGTGCAACAAATAGAAAACCCTAGGTTTAGGTTTGGTTCTCCGTTAATATGACTAAATTCTTTCAATTGTAGCTATGGTCGTCAGAGGGCAAATCCCTACGACCTAAAGCCTCTCCCTAAAGGTGTTCCTCGACCCATGTGCTTTTGTGGTGATCCTTGCAAGGTAGACATCTCTGAAGATGAGGAAACATATAGACAGAGGTACTGGATGTGTCCCAATTATGCATGGGAACCTACAAAGCAACAGCGCCGTACATCGATTGTGAGGAATTTTTATTGTGTGTTAATTAATTTTCTTATGATATTATGTATTGCTTATTTATTTGTTTTGTAACAATTTATTTTTCTTGCAGACCGTTCCACCACTGTGTGACTTTGAGCAGTGGATTGACACTGAGATCAAGGAGTCGAACAAGCAGCATCTAGAAGGCCTGAAGGAGTGGGATGCGGAGGTTAAGGAGAGGTTTGAGCAGAGACGCAGACAGGAGGCTATAGAAAAGGAGCATAAGGAAGAGGAGGAAAGGAGGCGTGTTGCTGCGTACAGGGCGGAGAGGGAGAAGAAGCTTGAGCGTGTACGCTGAGCGAAGGCAGCGATGGAGGAGAATCCTGATGCCCAGAGGAAGAGAAAGTGGCCTCGTTGCACTCAGTAGGTATTTGGTTTATTCACGAGCGATGTCGTGTAGCCCTGGACTTTTTTTACTATGTTATAATGCACTCTGCTTTTATTTCAGATGAACTTATTCCCTGGACTTTTTTTATTATGTTGTAATGCACTATGCTTTTATTTCAGATGATCTTATGCCCTGTACTTCGTTAACTATCCTAGGACTGTAATGCTACTGTTTGTATCACTGAAAAGGCTACTTGTGCTATTGCAGTCACTGAAAGGGCTACAAGTACTGTTGCAGTCAATGAAAAGTCTATTTGAAAACTCACTGAAAAGCCTAGATTCGTTTACTGTTGTATCCGTATATGCAATGAATTAATATCAGAGTGATATACTGTATTTAGATAAAGTGACAAAACACAGGTGTAGCCTTTTCATATGAAATGATCAGTCATGGTTGTAGGCTTTTCAGATGAAGCATCTAGCCTTTGTAGATTCAATATATAGTGCTCCATGTCTTCATCTCTATATATAGTGCTCCATGTAGGTTTTTTGTCAAGTAGCATTCATGGTGAACCTGTCTTCATCTCTATATATAGTGCTCCATGTCTTGCTCCACATCCACACATCTTGTTTTCTGGTTTAGTTTTAGCAAATGTCGAGCGGAGGTTCCTCAAGTGGAAAGGGTTTCGGCGGAGGGAGAGGAAAGGGGGTGAGGATGGGACCTCCGATTGTGTGGGAGGGTTCTCTGGGTCCTGATTCTTTCGAAGAACCAATAGAGGAATTTTCTTTGGAGAGGAAGAGTGACTTACCCGTGAGAGACCTCTTAGATCATACAACAAGCACATTGAAGATTGGCCAAAATGCCGCCACGGTTTGGATTGCGTTGTGCAGATGTACAATGACTGTGACGGTGGAGGCCGTCATTTCTTCAGATGCCCGCGAGGATTTGTATTTCCTTTGAACTCTCTCCTTTTTTAGATTTGCATTTGGTTTGTAGTAGTACTTATTGGTAGATGGGTTTTCAGGATTCAAGTTGTCCAGATAACTGTGGCTTCACTAGATGGGTCGACCCTCCTCCTATCTATCCCCATCAACAGTACATCACATATCTACAGGGATGCATCTTTGACCTAGAGTATGGCCCTAGAAGTGGTAACAGGGACAAGTCGAACGACGACAACAGCAATGATGCAGAGGAGGCACTATGCAATAATCCGTACTGCCAGTGCCCGTACCATAAGAAGCACGGGCCTCCTTCTCCACCGCCACCGCCACCGCCACCGCCTCTGTCATTTGGGGGATACTGTGGGGAAGGCGCAACTTAGTTCAATATGTGGGACCATTATTAGGACCAACCTTTGTTAGTCAATTCGAATGTGGAATGCTTGTATGAGTTGTTCTTCTCAATCCCCTAAGGCATGATAGGTTTAGTTTGCAACATGCCATTGTTAGTTTTCATGTGAGTGTGTAATCGTAGTGCATTCGCTATTTCATAAATTGCAGTTTACCTATCTCTAAGTTTCATGTTCTATGGTTGATTCCGAAACTCAAAAAAAGAGTTGACTCTCTCTAAGAATAGGGGATTGAAATCGAACATTACAAATGAGAATAAAAGAAATAATAAAAGAGTACAGAAAAAGAATAATAAAAAAAGAAAAGGAAAAAGAAATAGAAGAAAAAAAAAGAAAAAAGAGAATGGCGTCGAGTCAGCCCACGCCGAGGTAAAAGAGAATGGCGTTGAGTCGGCCTACGCCGACACTATGGGCGCTGAGTCGGCCCACGCCGAGTTTGAACACCATGGCGTTGAGTCGGCCCACGCCGACGTTTGGGCTGCGGACGTCGTCGATTCAGCCCACGGTCCTATCTCGGCGTCAAATGAATAAACGCCGTTTCTAAAGGGTCGGCGTCAATTTACGACGAGCCGAGCTTGGGCACCTCGTCGCTTCGAACTAGCCGATTCCAGGATGCGCTAGGGGTCGGCGTTCATTGACTAAACGTCGAGGTGCCTACCATCGGTGTGTATTGATTTGACGCCGAGCTTTGAGTACACAAAAAACACAGAAATGAACATTTCAGTTCACAAGTGCACAAGTTGACAGAATTTCGCAGGATACAAAATTTCATAGAATACACATTCAACGCTGGAAACATAGTGATATGCTTCATCAAACATTGTCCATGTCGTTACCACACCAACATACACATTGAACATCGAAACATAGTGATATCAAACATAGTCCAAACATAGTGCATACCATAAGATACATAGAACATTACATAAGGTCGCACAAATGAAGCATATGACAAGGTCTGGAGCTTTTAGTTCGTTCCTTCTCCAATGCTCCTTTTCACCTTGATCTCTCTTTTTCCTATAATAGTAAATTTTAACAACTTTCAGCGGCTATTGAGCTAAGTTAGGAACAAAAAATGAGATGTAACTTAACTAGCATATCAAAAGATGTTCGTTTAGATATTGAGCTAATTGGTGTATGCTAAAATTTGAGCCAAGTACCTTAATGTGGACGGCGAGCGTAACGCTTTCCCCTCCCAAACGGATAGGTACCTAGAGTGTACCTGTCCACTGGTCTGAGCGTCCTCTGTGGACGTCCAGAACCGGAGGGGCCTTGAGTTCCTTGGGGTGCATCTTCAAGCTGGGACATGCCAATCTCATCATACTCATGCTCATAGTAATCTCCCTGTCCTTCATCATCTTCATCATCATAAGGACCATGTCCTTGACCACCCTCTGCACTAGTTGCTGCACCATGTGAAGAAGAAGTCCCGCCAACATGTGCACCATGTGAAGATGAAGTCCCTCCAACATGTGCAGTAGAAGGTCCAGCACCAAGCTGTTGTGGGACTGCCACATCCGAGGCACGTCTACATCCAAGGCGTGCAGC